CGTTTCTGTCTGATTGACCTGTCCATTGGTGAGAGAGTAGTCTTGAAGTCTCCTACTAATAGTGTGTGTGTGGTTTCATGGGTGCCTTGAGTTCTAGTAATGTTTCTTTTACATATGTGGGTGCTTTTATATTAAGGGCATAGATATTCAGAATTGAGACTTCATCCTGATGAATTGTTCCTGTTATGAGTATGAAATGCCCATCTCCATCTCTTCTGATTGATTTTGGTTTGAAGTCAATTTTGTTGCCTTTTTATAGGTGAATTGAGACCATTAATATTAAGTGATATTAATGACCAGTATTAGTTAACTCCATTTTTTTTGTTAGTAGAGTTTGTGTGACTCCCTTCTTTGAGTTGTGCTGGTGAAGGATCGCTAGATATTTGAGTTAGTGTGGGCATTGTTGGCAATGTTAGATTCCTTGGTTTGTGATATTTCTTCTATTACTTTCTGTAAAGCTGGATTTGTGGCTACGTATTATTTAAATTTGTTTTTATCCTGAAATATTTTGTTTTCTCCATTGATAGTGAATGAAAGCTTGACTGAGTATAGTAGTCTGGGCTTCCATCCATGTTCTCTTAGTTTCTGCGGTACATCTATCCAGGACCTTCTGGCTTTCATGGTTTCCATAGAGAAGTCAGGTGTAATACTTATAGGTTTACCTTTATAAGTTACTTGACCTTTTTCTTTTGCAGCTCTTAATAGTCTTTATTTATTCTGTATGCTTTATATTTTGATTATTATATGGCGAGGGGATTTTTTTTTGATCCAGTCTATTCGGTGTTCTGTATGCTTCTTGAACCTTCATTAGAATATCTTTCTTTAGATTGGGAAAGTTTTCTTCTATAATTTTGTTGAATATATTTTCTGGGCCATTGAGCTGTAATTCTTCTCCTTCTTCTACCCCTATTATTCTTAGGTTTGGTCTTTTTATTGTGTCCCAGATTTCCTGAATGTTTTGTGATGAAAATTTGTTGGATTTGCTGTTTTCCTTGATCAGTGCGTTCATTTTCTCTGTGGTGTCTTCAGCATCTGAGATTCTTTCTTCTATCTCTTGTATTCTATTGGTTATGCTTGTCTCTGATCATTTACCTAGATTTTCCATATCCAGGCGTCCCTTGGTTTGTGTTTTCTTCATTGCGTCCTTTTCAGTTTACAAGTCTTGTACTGTTTCCACTATCTGTTTGATTGTTTTTTCTTGTTTTCCTAGAGTATCTTTTACGGATTTACTCATTTCTTCAAACTTTTTGTTATTCTTCTCATCCATTTCTTTAAGGGAGTTTTTCACCTCCTGTTTTAGGGACTCTATCACTTTCATAATGTCATTTTTTTCTACTTCTTCTGGATTAGGGTGTTCAAGTCCTCTGTTGTAAATTCGCTGGGTTCTGGTGTTTTCATGTTGCTTTTCAGATTGTTGGAGGAATTTTACATTGGCGCCTGCCCATCTCTTCCTTCAACTGCTCTCCGATGGATCTTCTGGTACAGGATCAGGCCCTCTTGTTGGCCAGGGACCTCTCAGACAAAAGGCCTACCTTGCTGCAGGCAGGCTGTTGAAACAAACGAACTCCAGCCTGGTTGCACTCACCACCCGGTCCCAGCACCCCAACAGGCTGAGCTGGGGGAATTTATGACCCCAAAGAAGGGAGGAAGAAGGGAGGAGGTGCCTGGGCACAAGCAGGGATGAGATAGGAAGAGAGAGGCAGTAGTAGGGGAGAGAAGCCCCTGCAGACTGACCCAGAAGTTTAGGGGGTTGAGAAATGTCTGTGTTCTGTTTCTCGGGCTTCTGCTGCAGGTCAGTAACACACTCACCCCTCCAATGGATCTTCTGGTACAGGATCAGGTTCCCTTGCTGGTCAGGGACCTCTCAGACAAAAGGCCTACCTTGCTGTAGGCAGGCTTTTGAAATAAAGGAACTCCCACCATGTTGCACTCACCATCCATTCCCAGTGCCCAAACAGTCTGAGCTGGGGGATCTTCCCAAGTAGTTCTTATAACTTAATTAATCGATATTGTTTTAAATTCTTTCAGCCACATAGCTCTAATACCTATTTTTAGTATGACATATTCAACTTGCTCTGAGTTTGCTGAAGATATCACACATCTACATGCCTCCTCCAAGCTTCTCTCCCTTGGTATGGAAGTCCCACCCCTACACTCCTGCCTAACTATTGGACCTTTCAGCTTTTTATTACAGCAGTCAGAACAATACTTCTTCAAACAGTGTACAAATATCCCACACTACATGGTCATTTGGAGTCAAGTCCTTGGTAGTGTCTCTTGGATTGAATATAGGTCCAGTCCTTGTTGTCTGGTTGTTGGAATCTCTGTTATTTCTTAAAGTATCAGGTTTTTGTTATCAGTCAGAGGGTTGTTGTGCCCAGATCACGACCCCCAGAGAGAGACCACCAGAGAGGCCCAGACTGTCATAAGCAGGGTTTAATCAGCATAATACAAACATGTTTGGAACTCATCTCCATCCCCGTGACAACAAGGTAGAGAGGAGTTGTATCTCTTCTGTGGGGTAAGCTTTTAAAGGCATAACTGCAAAGAGAATCTTTGAAGATGCTTTGGAATGGGTACAAGGACTTTTGCTCCCTCACATTCTGTTAAGTCAGCTTTTTTTCTTGTTTTTAGAGAGGCCACTGTTTTTGAGTTAGGCCATCTTTATCAGCCTGTACCAGGTGGCTGGCTGGGCTGAGCTAAGTGACCTTGTGCTCAGAATATCCTGTGTGGGAGAGGGGAAGACCAGTATCTTCCTGGGAAAATATTCTGCTAGAAAATTTCTTCTTGCCCCACTGATAATAAGGGGTGAGGGTCCCACAGGGTTATGTTTTTTTGTTTTGTTTTGTTTTTCGTTTTTCAAGACAAGGTTTCTCTGTATATTTGGACCCTGTCTTGGAACTAGCTCTTGTTGTCAGATTGTTTGTAATGTTCAGACTTGGGGCCACTGGGTGTTGATATGCAATTGGAATATCAGAAGTGATTCTCCCATGCCTGTTGAAATCTTAGAGTTATGCTGAGTGATCCTGTGATAGCTGTCCCTGCCCCTCCCTGGATACAGAAGCAGGAGGGCTTCTTTCCCTCTCACAACAGGGAAAGATGGCTCCATCCTTCACTACGGATATGTACTTCACTTGGGCAGCACACTAGGGCTGACCCTGTTGTCAGGGATGGAGAAGAGCCAACCCTGAAGACTGAGCTGAAGTTCCCCTCTGCTGTCATCTGTCTTGGTGTGGTGTGGATGAGGGAAAGATGTCCACCCGTCAATACAAGAGAGCCTGCCTCAGTTGGAGAAGTCATCTTGACCCCTCAACAGCTATAGCACAGAGGAGAGCAGACCCTTCACCCTGGCAGGGAAGCAAATTTAAGCTAACTCTGCTGTCAGGGATGCAGGTGAGGCAGCCCTGAAGGTGAGAGAACAGGAGAGCTTACAACTCCTACCCAAATGACCCCACCCCACCCCTTGCAGCTATCCAGAGAGAGGGCCTTGCATCTTTTCTGGGCAAGACAGTGTAGTGAACCCTGTGTTGTGAAGAGTGGGTGAGCCTCACCTGAGGAGCCTGAAAGCAAGAGAGCTGGCCATACTCCTTATTGCAAGCTGCTTAGAGTGGGCTGGCTGAGACAGTGCTGAAGGTGGTGAAGACAAGAAAGCTGGCAGGATGATCAACCCAGCTACCACCCAGGCTCAGGAATCCAACATCTACCTTATATATAAACTATCGGAGCATATAAAAGGGAGGAATGTAAAGATCCAAAACTGCAGGATCTCAATGACAGTGAGAGTCCATTTTCCATGGTGTAGAAGATGCTAGAGGCATCGAACCAGACCAATGACTCATGAACACTGACAAGCAAAGATGAAAGAACTAAACAGTGAGCTATATGACCTGACCCATGATCCACACTACAGCTTCCACAACAAGATTCTCCACAACTCATTCCCTCTTCTGCTTTTTGATTTGTTTGTTTACTTTACTTGTTTTTTCCTTTACTTTTCCCTTTGTTTGGGAGGTAGTTTTAAGGGCAGAGGGCGATGTGGGAAGACAAGAAGATACGTGGGATCACGATCATGATGTAAAATCTGCAAGAATCAAGAAGTTTTTTTTAAATGTCATTCTAGTTAAGTTAAGGGTAAGGTTCAGCTTCTTAGCACAATAATATGTCCAGTGTTGATAGTGTGTTCTAAGTGTAGCCTCCAGAAGTCTGTGGGGGTATACACAGAGGTCTCTTTGTTCTTCAGGTGACCAGGACAAGGATCATGAAACTGAGAAGTACAGGCTCTGTCTAGATAGCATGTGCTCTAAGCTGTGGCCAATGGGGAAGGGATGCTGTTTTTACAACACCAAGATAGATAATACCTTATATCATATAATATAGATATGATAATAATATAGACCCTTATATCATAAGGGACGATACCTGAACTTACCCTTTGAACTCCAATGTATATGTGCACTTTCATCCACGTATATGGAGTTATGCTCATTAGCACAAAAGCATACACATATGCATCCAAAAATAAAATAACAAAATAAATTTAAAAGGTATTATCATACTTGTGTTATGATATATTTCAGAAAAAACTCATTTTTAATATTTTTAAAACTTTCTCTAGCAACATAAGAAGGCTTGCAGTTGTCTTACAGATGCTAGAAGAATTTGTGTAATTTATATATGATATATTTTAATCATATCAGAAAATGTTAAATGAAACACCGAATGGTTAACAAGCAGCAACTATGTTGTTTATATATTGATTGTCATGTGCATATATCAGGAAAAAAATAAATATCAAGAAAATTATTAAGGGCTGATAGTAGCAAATACATTCCAGACACTAAGAATATAACAATGACAACAAAGAAAAAGATCTGACGGGGAATATTAGGGAAATAGTATTAAGACCATGAAAAATAACATCATAGACTCTTATGAGATGAAAAAATTACATAGACTGACTAAAATGAACCATATCCAATTCATACCCTGCTGTAGCCACAGATTAAGAGCTAATGAGATATTTTAAACATTATTTTTCACAAGAATGATCTTTCTATTATTTTCTTCAGTGCAACATTGACATCCTTATTCCTCAGACTGTAGATCAAGGGGTTGAGCATGGGAACAATGATGGTGTAAAATACAGAAGACACTTTGCCTTCATCCATGGAGCTGGAAGATGATGGGTTCAGATACATAAATGCAGCAGAACCAAAAAAGACAGAAACAGCTGCGATGTGTGAGCTGCAGGTGCTGAAGGCTTTGGACCTTCCTTCAGTAGATTTAATGCGGAGGATGCTGATAATGATGAAAAAATAAGAACTAAGGATGGTCAGGGTTGGGGCAATGATATTAATGCCACTAAAAATTAGAATCATCAATTCATTAACATAGACACTAGAGCACGAGAGTTTAAGGACAGAAATAAGGTCACAGAAATAATGATTGATCAAATCAAATTTGCAGAAATGAATCCTAAACATACATCCTACATGAGCTGATGCGCAAACCACACCTATAATATAAACTCCAAAAACAAGAGAAAGGCAAGCCTGTTGAGACATGATGATACTGTAAAGCAAGGGGCTACAGATGGCAACATAGCGATCATATGCCATTGCAGCCAGCATGTAACATTCTGAAATAGCAAAAAAAAGAAAAAAGTAAAGTTGAATCATGCACTCAGTGTAAGAGATGTCATTATTCTCCTCCACAAAGTTCACCAGCATTTTGGGGGTAATAACAGTAGATTGGCAGAGATCAATGAAGGACAGACTGCTGAGGAAGAAGTACATGGGGGTGTGCAGATGGGAGCTGAGCAGGATCAGGATGATCATTCCCAGGTTCCCCAGCACTGTGAGCAGGTAGATTCCAAGGAAGAGGAGGAACAGGGGCAGCTGTAGCTCTGGTTGGTCAGTTAACCCAGAGAGAAAAAACTTGGTCACTGTGGAGTGGTTACCGTTTTCCATTCCCTCTGTTCAGATTCTGAAAGCAAAAAATATGGTCTTTTGAGAGACATGGTTGCTCTTCTTTTGGAAGAGCCCCCTAAAATTCTCTATGATCACTTCCTTCTGTACAAACTTCATTTGGTGGAAGTTATCTAACTTATCTACTAACCTTTAGTTTCAAAATTAATAATGTTTTATAAAAACATTTGTGTTTGTAGTGTTGAAAAGCTTTATATTGTCTATTTTCTATAATCAGCATGTCAAATCTTTGAACCTAGTGTTTTCTAAGTCACATCATTTACTAAAACACATATTTGGAAAAATGAAGTAGCTTGTTTGAATCATGACTTTAAAATATTTTAGAGAGAATAATTTCACTTAACTCATAAATGGAAGAGATTTTTCAAATAAATTTCTTGTTAACTATATTCAACCAATTGTTAAGCAAATGATAATTACTGACAAAATTCTGGTAATAATGCTATTAGTGTCCCAATTTTTTTTCTTTTTTTCCTTTCAACTTTTGTGAATTAGAAGGTATGAAAAGCCAAAACAGAAAATGAATAGTTACAGGTTTCTTTCCTTGTTCTGTTACAAAGTGAATACATATATTAACTATTTCAAAGAGTAAAATTTCATAATGAATTAGAAGTGAATTATTTTTATTTGAAGATGATATGATTATATACATAAGTGACTCTAAATTTCCTCTGAAAAACTCCTACAACTGACAAACACTTTGAATCAAGTAGCTAGATACATAATCCACTTACATATATCAGTAGCCCTCCTTTAACAAACTGACTGAAAAAGAACCCAGAGAAACATCTTACACAATAGTCTCAATTAATATAAAATATCTTGGGCTAACTCTAACCAAGCATGTGAGAGATTTTCATGCTAAAAGTTTCAAGTATTTGAAGACAAAAAAAAAGATAGAAAGATCTCCCATGCACAAGGTAAGTAGGTTTTACATAGTAAAAATGGTCATACTACCAAAAGCAATCTACAAATTCAATACAATGCCCCTCAAGATTCAAACAAAAATTCTTCACAAATCTTGAAAAGACAATTCATATAAAACCCCCTCCAATTCAATGAAACAATAAAATTCATAGACTCATAAAAAGCAAAGGAAAATGCAGACTTCTTCATGAAAATACAAATCTTATAACAAATAATAGTATATTACTATAGGTTAGCATAATACCTTATTGCTCAGTGATACCTAAAAACTAATTTGATATGGCTTCTCAGCTCACCTACTATTATATTGGAATACAGCAAAGAGGTCAAAATGATGACTGATGGTTGAACCAATGGGCCTCTTAGTGGTCACCATTTGCCATAGCTGTGCTTCTCATCCCAAGGTTTGCACATGCTTGAAGTTCTTCTGTAGTCCATGAACTTAGCAAGCACTGATATAAAGCTATTATGACACATTTCACAGCTTTAGGTGTGGCTGTTCTTGCTAAGGAAATTATACTGGCATGATAAAGTCCAGAAGTTGTAGGGTGCTTGGAAAATCTTTAAGGCGATATAATTAGTATGCAGCTTTTGTGTTGTAAGACAGTTTATGATGTTTGATACCACAGAAGGTACACTCTTTACAAACAATAAGGAAAAATTATGTCAGTTTGATATTTTAAAAGGGAACAAGTTACTTAGCCCTGCTCATGGACTTGCGCAGTCCTAACTCTGATGATAACTTGCTTTCAAAATATAGAGAAAAGACTCCATTCATTAATTTTGTGAAACCACAGATTTCTCATTGGTCTCCTTGGTCCTGGTAAATTCTTCATGCATACTACCCACCTTCTCCATCTGTGATGGAAGCAGATGCCTACTTAAAACTCCTATACTAGGTGACAGTCATTTATTTTTATACGTTTTAGTTTGCTGTTCATTCTACTTGAAAAATGTCATCAAGCACTTTTTCTTTGTTCTTTGGTAAATATGTATTTCCTTTTATACTCATTCTAAAGCTATGGTTGACATGGGATGATTCTCCATAATTGTGTATTAAATTCATCTTTCCTATACCATGCTCAGAGTGTTGTAAGTGTTTTGAACTGCACACTTGCTTCTTGGTCTGTCAGCTACCCTACTAACCAAATGACAGGTTGGACTTATTTGCCTATTTCCCCAAAAATACAAGTATGCCACAATGAAGGTTTATAAAGGAAGGTCCTTTCAGTAATAAATGAAGAATAAGATTCTGCCTAACTTAAGACAGGCATTGCTCCAGACATCAGAGTCCTAAATGACCTGTGTGGTTATATGAGACCAACACACTCACCTTATTTCTGCTCCAATTCTCAATTTCAAGTTTATTTGCCAGCTGCAAATGGCATTGATCTTATAATTTGGAGAAGCATGTTTCCAGCATTCTACAGTCAGTATTGGGAAAGCCAGACCAAGTCTTCAAGGGTAACAGTATCTGTGAGCCAGGTCTGTATCTCTTGTCAGTATATTTCAGGATCACTAAATGCAGATTTTATTTCACATGTGTCTTAACTAGAGCATCTGTGAAGCACTGAGATGAGTTTATCCTCTTCAGGTACTGTCTGTCAGCAAATAAACATTCCCTATGGACTCTCATTATTCTAGAAACATGCTCATGAGAAAAATAAGTAATTATAAATACAAACTCCCTATCTGCCTAGTTATTTTTCAAATTGGTCCTTGTCATTTCTTATCTTTCACATCCAATTAACGATTTTGAGTATGTGGATTGCTAAATAGCTTTGTTAAAATACTTACTCTGATTCAGTAGATGTGGATGGGTGTGAGATTTTATATAGTTCTTAGGAACCTCTAGCTAATACAATAGACAGATCACACACTGACAAATCCAGGTTTTACAGGAACAATGCCTTTGCTGATGAGTTATATCTTGTTTATTATATGTTTAAGGATTTAAACAATAAATCTAAGAAATTTCCAGGAATCCACATGGATGACTCCAGCTAAATCCCTAAACAATAGTAGAGAGGGTGCCTGAACTGGTCTTGACAGATTGGTCAGATTGATGACTATCTTAAATGTCATCATTGAATCATAATCCAGCAATTTATGAAAACAGGGGCAGAGACACAAAGTAGAGCTCTGGGTTGAGCTCCAAGGATCCAGCTGTAGAGTGGGAGGCATGAGAATATGAGCAAAGTGGTCAAGACCATGATGGGTACACCCACAGAAAGAGTTTATCTGAGCTCACCACCTCCTGCTGGACAGGGAAGGGAACAGCATAGGACCAAGCTAGACTCTCTGAATGTGGGTGACAGTTGTATGGCCAGGGCCGACTGCGGGCCACTGGCAATAACACCAGGACCTATCCCTACTGCTTGTACTAACTTTTTTGGAAGCCATTCTCATTGGATGGATAACTTGCTCAGCCTAGATACAGTAGGGAGGACCTTAGATCATCCTCAAAGTAATGTGCCTTACCTTCTCTGAAAAGTGGATGGGGGTAAGTGGTATGAAGGTAGAAGGAATGGTAGGAGGGGAGAAAGTGGGAACAGGGATTGGTATATATAATGAAAAAATAGTTTGTTGTATTTTTTAAAAGAATAGAAGAAATAATCTATTCAGTACTTAGTAGATTGCAAAACTATTATTAACAGTATTCCCAAGTTAAAAATGACGTTTACTAGCTCCTAATTTACAGAATCCCAGAAAAATAATAGAATGATCAAAATGAAGGAGATTATGGGCACCATTATTACTATATAAGAAGATGAGTTAGATGGGTAGAGAGAAGGGAGAAGGGGAGGATTGGGGAGAGCTTGGGGGAATGGGATGGGTAGGATGGAGGAAGGGTGGATATGGGAGCAGGGAAGTAAATATTTTAATTAAGGGAGCCATTTTAGGGTTGGCAAGAGACTTGACTCTAGAGGGGTTCCCAGGTCCAAGGAGATGTTCCCAATTTGTTCCTTGGGCAGCAGAGGAGAGGGTACCTTAACTGGCCTTGTCCCATAGCCACACTGATGAATATCTTACATATCACCATAGAACCTTTATCTGGTGATAGATGGAGATAGAGACAGAGACCCACATTGGAGCACTGGACTTAGCTCCCAAGGCCCAAATGAGGAGCAGAAGGAGGGAGAACATGAGCAAGGAAGTCAGGACCACGAGGGGTGTGTCCACCCACTGAGATGGTGGGACTGATCTAATGGGAGCTCACCAAGGTCAGCTGGACTGGGAGTGATGGAGCATGTGATCAAACCGGACTCTCTGAATGTGGCTGTGACTGGGAAGCCAAAGACAATGGCACTGGGTTATGATTCTACTGCATGGACTGGCTTTGTGGGAGCCTGGTTTGTTAGGATGCTCTCCTTCATGGACCTGGATGAAGAGGGGAGAACCTTGGACTTCTCATGGGGCAGGGAACCCTGACTGCTCTTAGGACAGGAGAAGGAGGGGTGGGGGGAAGAGAAAAAGGAGGTTGGGAGAAGGTGGAAATTTTAAATAAATAAATAAATAAATAAATAAATAAATAAATAAGATGAGTTATTTCATAACTTGAATAGTTAGAAACCAGAGCAATCCAAATTCTCAAATTATTAAAATCTTTGTAAAACTATCCCAATTATCTTCTATGACGATAAATTTATTTTGTTTTCCTAAATTGTTCCTTAATTTTCTTCTATTAGCAACAAAAATAGTATGTTCTCATATTAAAAATTATCCTATAAAAGAGAGTTAATACTTTATGCCATTCAATATTGTATACCAGATTAATGTTCTAAAAAACTTAATATAGTGTTGGTGCTAATTTGCATTGGAAAGAATTATAGGTAACAGACATACATAGCCTCGTAATTCAGGAAACAATTGTACTAATGTGTATATTTAGTAAGTCAGTAACTTATGTGAGATATTAGAAATTCTATAAATTTCAAAAAAATCTGAAAATATTATATGGGTAATAGTAGAAACAATTAAAAGTTAGTGATATTTACATGAATGTATAGTGCCTATCTCCACTTATTCTGCATATCCCATTTTCAAGAAGTCTTGAGCTCTTGATTTACATTTTATTTTTATTTATTTTTACTAATATCATTAATTTGTATACATATA